GAAGACACATAGATGTATAATATCACTACATTCAGGATGTAGTTGAGAATAATGACATAATTGTTAGTTACTTGCCCTCATCACACCCATTGACCAAGGGTTTATGCGTTGAACTACTTTTTAAGCACACTAGCTTGATGGGACTTAAAAATGGTTAAGTCTGTTGGTTTCCATGAGTAACAAATCTGTATTAGCATGAAAATCCTCGTGATGAAAATTATAAGCATTTGTTATAAGAGGCATATCTATAATGCGTGAGAAAACCTCATGACAAAAATATTGTTTTAAAAGTCATACTCAAAAGTTGGAGTATGCTTGTTACTTATTATTACGCTCAACCGTCATGACCAAGTCAGAGATGTTGGCACGTGTGGCCATGAGGCCTCACATTGCTTAACCTCTTTCTATTAATCTCAACTATTTTTATGGGAGGTATTCCATTTATGCTTATCTATTTATAAATAAGTTTTGTTAAATGTAATATAAATAAATAAATTTTTTATTTTCTCAAGGATATTTTCAACATTTATATGGATAAGAATCCTTGAGATCAGGGAATCAGTTTCTCAAAGACCCGTTGGAGAAAAAGGAACATTGACTCATCTTCTTCCTATAAATATGGGAATTCCGAGAGAAGAGATATGGCACAAAAAATACATGACAAAATTACAGAACCTCCAGAAAGCTTTTCTTCTCTCTCTCTATTGGGCTCCTAATTAAATCCGAGTTCTGTGATCCCCAGCGTTACGGCACACCCCTCTCTGATCTCGTGCTTTTGACATTCATCTTTGCTTTATAGTCTTTTACTTTATACTAGAGTATTGTGAATTTACTCTGACTCTTCAAGACATGCAATATGGTGCAATCTATTTACTTCATATCCCATATGTAGGATGACATCATGAAATATTATGTACCATTGTCTTGAAGATTGTTTTAAACCATATAAAAACTTATTTAATCTATATACTTTATTTTCTTGGTCTTTAAGCCGATCCCAAATAATTGGGAAAATGTCATGATGATGATGATGATGATGATTTTCTTGGTCCTTAATTATGAAGGCCTCAGGTTGCTTCACATAGAAGGTTTCTTTTAGTTCACCATTTAAGAATGATATCTTTATATCTATTTAGTAAAGCTTTAGGTCATAATATGCAACAATTGACAAAATTATTCTAATGGATATAAACATTGCAACAGGGGAATAAGTGTCAACATAGTCGACTCCCTCTCTTTAGGTAAAACCCTTTGCTATTAACCTTGTTTTAAATTTATCAATTGATCCATCAGATTTTAGCTTCTTTTTAAGTACCCATTTGGAACCTATAAATTTCCTATCTGGTGGTAAATCACAAAGATTCCAAACTTTGTGTTTTTTAATAAATCTAATTCTTCTCTTTTGGCATTAAGGCATTAAGTCATTCTTGTGACTTCATTGTATCATTGAAGTCAAAGAGATAATTGATTTCATCTAGGTCAATAAGATTGTCTATCTTCTCACTCATGGAGACATAGAAATCATCAAGGTATGATAGAGGAGCTCTAGGCCTCTTTTGACCACTTAACCTGGTTTTGTGGTTACTTCAATATCATCATGTTGATTAGGGTTGTCTATATCCAACTGTAGGTGGTAGTTCTAAGTCACTTATAATATTTAGTGGATTATCATTATCTATCATAGATAGATTTTCTTCATTAAAATCTTTTAGGAACTCAACATCTGTACTTTGAATGAGTCCCTAATATTTATGATAAAATCTATGGCCCTTTGAACCTTCAGGGTATCTTATAAAATTACAAACTAGAGTTTTGTTTTCTAAATTATTTATCTACTAATATGGAATTAGAACATGTTTTGTTGACCCCCACTTCTTTAAGTTGCTATTTTAGGTCTTCTATCTCTCCACAATTCATAAGAGGTAAAATCTATTACCTTAGTTAGAACCCTATTAAGAATATACATGGATGTGCTTATTGCTTCTCCCCAAAAGCATGAGTCATCATGGATCTAGTCATTTATAAGAGGGTTATATTTCACTATGTCTTTTAATACCATTTTCTTGGCAATAAGTGTAGAAAGCTTCAAATTTGTATTCACCTCCTCTATCAGTTCTAAGAACTTTGATGTTCCTACCCAATTAGTTTTCTACTTTCTTTTCATATATTTTAAATATTTATAAGGCTTTTGATTTATAGTGGATTAGATAAACATATCCAAACCTAGAAAAATCGTCAATAAAAGTGATGAAGTATGACATCCCTCTATGAGTTTTAACTTTGAGAGGCTTACAAATGTTTGAGTAGACCACATTCAGTAACTCATTTGCTCTCTCCTTTTTATTGAATGATTTCCTAGTCATTTTTCATGACAAGTAGTGATGACATGTTGGAAATTCCACATTATGTAGATTTGGAATAAGACCTTTTTTTATTAACCTATTTATTTTATTTTTTCCTATGTGGCTAAGCCTAAGATGCCAAGTATATGCATCAACTACCATTGCAAAATTATGGTCATTGACCAAGTGTCCCCAAGCATAAATTTGTCTATGCTTTCTGATTGATACTTTCAATGATCAAAAGCGGACTTCGAAACCCTTTCTAATGAACAAAAGGACAAATACAATATCTTGCCTCATACTAAGGACAAAATATACATAAGTTAATACAAAATCAATTGCCCCTACATACAACCTACATGATCCTACACCTAATACATTAGAATAAGTGTTGTTCTCTGTGTAGACGCGTTTCTCCTCGGCCTTTATTCTTTGAAATCCTTGAAAATACCTTTCGAGCTTGTAATATACCGATTAGCGCCTGAGTCTACCCATCATCCTTGATGTCGTGGTCTGCATGCAGACACTCAGAGACCACACAAATAACTTCACGCATCTTTCTTCCATTTCTGTTATGCTTTGGATTTTGTAGGTTTCTATTGTGGGCAGCAGTTTTTGAAGTGACTTGGTTGACTCCATAAGAAGCATTTTCACGGTCCTTGTTTAGTCTCTTGGTTGTAAGGCAATTCCTTTGTTTTTGAACTGATTGTTCCTCTTGTTAAATTTTCCTTGAAATTTCTGATTATTAGGCTTGGGTTGGCTGGATTTGGGATGTCCTTGAGCAAGCATGAGTTCACTCTTTTATCTTTGTTCATGTGTTCTTGCTCTAATGCTAGTTGCATAGGTAGGTCCCCTAATGTAAGAGATTTGACATTCATCCTAAGTGCTATTGTTACCATCCTCTATGAAGGTGGAAGGCTATTTAAGATTGTGGAAACTTGCATGCGATCGGGAACTTTATTCCCAGCAATGGCTAAGTGCTTAGCCATAACAAGCATTTTGTTTACATGCTTCACTTCATTATCACCCTCCTTCATTTTAAATCAATTATATTGCTCTAATAGCAATTGGAGCTGAGTTTCAGAGGCTGTCATATTTTGCTTTTATTGCATCTAGCATTTTCTTAGATATTTCGTAATGTTTGAATACCTTAATAAGGTAATCTTACATAAAAGTTAACATTGATGTTTTAGCTGTGAGGTCATCTTCTAAGAATTTTTCTAACTTTTTATTTTCTTCTTCAGTTCGTTTATCATCAACTATTGGTGGATCATCCCTTAGTACATATGAAATTCCATCTTGGATGAGGAGATATTTCATCTTCCTCTTCCACATACTAAAATTGGTCCCATTCGAAAGTTCAACCATTAAAATTCTACTAGCTATTGGACTTGCTATTTTATGTGTGAGCAGCCTAAATAGTTTCTGGGTTCTAAGAAACTAAGTAGAAACCACCAAAATAATTAAATATGTGGTTTATGCCTACAGAGACAGTTAATTGTTCACAGCAATGGTAAGAAATTTGGCTGGAAAGTATATAATTGATCAATATCACATTAAACTTTCATAAGCAAATGTTCATGTACAAAGGATACAAAATTCAACAGTCCATGTTGAAGTTTATGCTTGTACAAACAATATTCGAATATGTGTTTCACATAGAAGACAAATCAATTTCTATATTACACCAAGGTAGTAAATGCATCAATTGCATTCAAATACCAGCAATAATAAAAATTGAGCAAAATGAGTTTTCTATGATTTTCCGTCGCCTCTTTTCCCCCTTTTTTTTATTTTAAAAAAAATATTAGCAAATATATATAGTGCAAGAGAATAGCACAATGTATATAGTGATTGTATACAATGAGACTAGTTACCTTTGATACAAGGTAGTCACAATTCCTTACAACCACTTGATGTGAAATTTGATAGTTTGAATGTGTCAAAAAGTTTGAGAAAATTTCTTTTGAAGTTTGAGCTTGGTGAATGGAATAATTGCAGCCACTCAATTTCACATCCAATAGTCATGATTATTGTCCCCACCTTGTATTAAACGTAAATGGTCTCATTCTATACTTTCCCATATATATATATTCAGAGAGGCGATATAAATTCAGTGACTGTATCTTTATAATAAAAAAAGGTCTACCTTAGAATATTAAATCTAAAATATTTTATCCATCCATCGTTTTTATCAATATCATATGTAATAACAATGCCTTAAGTTAAGATATATGTGCTAATAATGAGTGAACTGAATAATTCGTTACCAACTAGCAGAAACAAAGAAATATTAATAGAAGAAACCAAAGCAGCCTTTAATCAAATGAGAAGAAAAAGAATCGATGGAAACAGTAGCCTATGGACACTTGGGATTTATTGATGCATGAATTGTATATAGAGAGAGTAAAGAACATTTGATGGATCAAGGACAAATATGTGCGTTTGGGTAGTGCTGAAATGAACAAAAAAAACAGTGACAAAGTTCTTATTTTCCTTAATGATGTTGCTGTCTAAGAGGTGGAATCAAGCCTTTACAGTAATAAGTGTTTTGTATTCTTGGATGGGATAGACCCCCTTGTTGAAAAGTCAAAAGGCAAGTGGTTGAAGAATTGAAAAAAAAGACAATTTTATGATGTGAGCCCTCACTTCTAATAAATGCGGTGAGTTACAGTGAATTACAGTGAAGGAAGCAGCTTATCTATAAAAGAGAAATTATCGTGTATATATCAAAAAATATATTAGAACACGATGTATACAAAAATAAAAAATTAAAACTCCGAGCATAAAGGGTGATCAATCGTCGGCGGTAGAGAGATAGTTAACATAAAAAACAAATTCTTAAGATATAAGTAAGATAAAAACTGGATGTTGTTCTGATACCAGTAAAAACAAAAGACTATGGAGTCAAGATGAATGCCAAATGCTCGAGATCAGAGAGGGGTGTGCCGTGAGGTTGGTGATCGCAGAACCCGGATTTAATTAGGAACCCAATAGAGAGATAGAAGAGAAGCTTTCTGGAGTCTCTGTAATTTTGTCGTGTATTTGCTGTGTCTGGAAGAAGATGAGGCAACATTCCTTTTTCTCCAACGGGTTTATGAGAAACTGATTCCTTGATATCAAAGATACTTATCCATGTGAACATTGAAAATATCCTTGAGAAAATAAGCTATTTATTTATTTGTATTAGATTTAACAAAACTTATTTATAAATGGATGAGCATACATGGAATTCCTTCTATAAAAATAATTGATGTCCATAGAAATATGTAAGGCAACATGAGGCCACATGGCCACATGTGCCAACATCTATTAGTGTCCGTTGGCAAAGTGATGTCACAAAAGAGTTATTATCTTGGATTTTGTCCAGGCCAAAAAGTCTTTCAGAACTTACAATTTGGGAAGTTCTGTCCTCTTGGGGAATTGCAAGATGGCAAGGTCTGCTTCCTTTCTGGCTTTCTAATAGCTTTGGTGGTTTACGTTTACAGTTGTCTTCTACTAAGAATGGTACTCCCAGTATAATTTACACTTCCTGGAGGCTCTAAAGCCCCTCCAAACCCATGGACATCCGCAATTTTATGGAATCCAATCAATCTTCTAGGATGCTTCAATGGCTAACAAAGTTTGCTGCCAATTTTTGACTTATTGGACATGATTTTTGAAGTGTTTGGTTGTGATCGATCTGATAAGTGCCTTCCCATAGGACTTGGAATGTATTTTCTTTCTAAATTTGAGTGTTCTAAACTTCTTATTGTTTGTTCAACAAGTGCTATGTAAATTTGCCCATTTCCTGCATATGTATCAGTTATTTCCTGCCTTTATTATGACTGTTCTATTAACTTTTCAAAGCAACACGTTTAACTTAGTCTACTTTGCCTTGTTCAGGACATCATGAGCATGGCCATGCCCATGATCATACGCATGACTCAGGTGTTTCCTCTGTCAGTATAGTTTGTGAAGGGAACCTTGATCTTGATAAGGTTTGTTTTTACTTGTGCATGGAAAATCATTCATTTCTTGCACTTGTTACCTTTCTGTTTTCTTATTGTTTGATTGTTGAATTGATTTCCACTTTAACTCTAATTTATGCTCTGAATGCGAGGGAAACTTGTTGATGCTCACCTTTTTCCCATGATCCATTTGAACTCTCTGGACTTGTTTACTTGACTAACTTTTATGCCTAAAAGTTCTGTTGTTGAGCTGTTAAAAAGTTCTGTTGTTGAGCTGTTACTGTGATTTATTTATTGCCTTGAACCTCTTGTTCTTTTTTCATTTGAAAGTTCTTTTCTAGTGTCTATTGCCTTTTGCTTCAAGTTAATTGTTGTATACTATTGTCGTGGTGGAGACCAAACCCTGCTGCCACGATTTTGTTTCTCATTTGGGATGAATTTATACATTCAATGAAAAATTTCTGAATTGTTTTCCTTTCTCATCCTCAGGCTAACATGTGGTTGGGGACATTATTGATGGAGCGTAGTGATGACATATACCGTATGAAAGGTCTCCTTTCTGTTAGTGGCATGAATGAGAGATTCGTCTTTCAGGTTAGCACTTCCTTTTCAGCTAGTCGATATTTAGAATTAGAAAACTATAGTTGTAGGTATTTTTATTTGCTGTGTGGTGGTGCATAAGCTATATCAAAGTGTAAGTATCATCTTCATAGTATCAGCCATCATTTATTTTGTGTGACAGTTGAGCTGAGTGATATATCTTTCATACCCATTTTTAGCTACTAGCAGTGGAACTTTCTAATTGTTTGCCTTATTCTCATCTAATTCTACAATGGAACAGGGTGTACATGATATATTCCAGGGTTCCCCTGAGAGGTTATGGGGACCAGACGAGAAGAGGATCAATAAAATTGTATTCATAGGCAAAAATCTGGATGCCAAGGCTTTAGAGAAGGGATTCAAGGAATGCTTACTGTGAATTATATTGAGGAAAAGTTTAGTGTGTCACAATTTGTAACATTTAAAGCACTCGAGGCATGATTGTTCTCTGCATTATTAGTGGATTGGGCTGCGTCTGGATATATTAATATGGAAAGAAGGAAATATATACCCAAGGTATAACATCTGGGATTTTGTGTCTAAAAAACATTATTTTTGTGTATTGCTCGTTATGAGGTTACATTTGAAATGTGTTCATTGAGGGCAAAATGAATTGCATGCTTGGTTTCCAGAGAAATGCTTAAATTTTCAGTATTTTATTGTATGTTAAACATATTTTCAGCTAGGTTCCTGTGTAAAAGGGAGACTCTAGCTAGCTCTATGGCTGGGTTTTCCATCGGGTCACCTTGCAAAAGAGACAAACTTAGACCAAGGGTTTGTCTTCAGAGTTGCCTTCTGTTTTTTAGGCAATGGTGTTACCTATTTTATGGGGTAGTGACTTTATAGGGGAATAAAACGATATAATTTGCATTTTTACTTAGACATTGGCCGTTGAAGATCTCAAAGAGTTAGGCCCTTACTATTGAGCCCCCATATTTCCCAAACCATTCGTGTGGTTAGCTTTTGAATGTGACATGGATTTCTGACCCTTTATTCTGGATAGGTTCACATGAGCCTCATTTGTGAAGGGAATCCTTGGCCTATGAAGAACATTGAGATAGTTATGAATAGCTGTATAGGTTGAGAAAGCAGGATTAGTTGAACATCCGCTGAGTCTCTGGCTATGATCGTATATGATAACACTCTGATTTCCTACAGTGTATGCCATAACTGACTGGTTAGTTAAAATTACTTGAAGGCACCCATGAACATTTTGATTTGCTGTGCTGCTCTTGTTGGAAGTTTTGGAAAAATCGCAGTGACCCTCTCTGTGACCTTGACTAGTCGGGCCCTTTTGCCTTCTCCACCTTTAAATTGTCATCGTTCTCTCCCCACCTTAAACCCTTTACAAACTTGCGTGTGCACTACAAAAGCAATGCAGGTCTTCAGTTGATGTCTCAATTTGCATCAAACCATGAACCTCTCAGGTTTGCCATTTTGACATTCTTCAATGGCGTCCGTGTTTCCATGCTCCATTTTCCACCAGATCAGAAAGCATCCATCATAGCCCTAACAATTTTCAAATGTGTTGGGTACATCCCATTTCTCTCTGATTGAACTTCTATATTGTAATGCATCAAAATATGACTTAACATGTCTTGTTCTTAAAATAAAACAAATCTATGTAGGGAATTTATACTCTTGCCCATATGATCATGGCAACAGTTTTGTCCTCCAAACATCTGATTAATTCAGTTGTACATCCTACTCTCCCTGAATCGACCCAATCATTGCATGGTGGTAACCCCTATGACAGAAATGTTGCCATGGCCATATGGGTTATAGTAGACTTTCCAATATATGGTAATAAACCAATCTCTAATGAAGATAGGAATAGTCCTCTCTAATCAGCACCATGAAAGGTCATCTAAGTGGAATAAGGCTCTGTTTGAATATCGTCATTTTTAGCGGCAGGAGTTGAATATCCATTTAATGTACAAAATTATATTATGCTTAATGTTTGGATAAGTTTAACCCCACTTATGGACAAAATTACAAAAAGATGATGGTTTTACTGATAGCCCTCTTTTTTAAAAAAGGTAAAAATTGATATAAGGTTGACTCCTTGAAATGTGTAGTTTAGGTGCTCTTTTAAAATTTTTTGAACAAAGTTGTCTTGATGTTGGAAAAATATCTAATTAATCATCTCAACATTAAGATGTATACATGTGAAGTAAAAAAAAAAGAGATTTCAAGTTCTAAAAATGATACATTTTGCAACACATTATCTAAACCATCCATTTTTAGGATTTTCATAACTTTAAAGATTCGTTCGATTTGAACCATTTTTGGAGTATAAAATTCAAAAAGTATACAGAAAAATAGATTCTCACACCATTCTAATGATTTTCTGGCACCAAAATTGCATCATCTTACCACGAAATTTGGAGGTGCATAATTTGATTTTATGCAAACCATACCTTTCAAAAAAAGGAAGAAGTTTATAAGTGTGAGGCTCTAAACAATCAACTTAGCGCGCACCTCAAAAATTTCACTGGGAGATGTCGTTTTGTTGCCCAAATATCCTGAAATTAATCATCTTGGCATCAAGAAGCATGCCCAAATATCCTCAAATTGATCATCTTGGCGTCAATAAGCATGGACATGAGAAAAAAATGGATTTCAAGTTTTGAAAATAGTGCATCTTGTAATGTATTTTTAGACCGTCAATTTTTAATATTTTCAAGTTTTCATAGACCTGTTCGATCTACACTATTTTTTTATCTTTAAATCTTACAATTAGAGCTGAAAATAATTTAAAGCTGTCACAAAGATTTCCAGTATTGAAACCACATTTCTCGAAACTATTTGAAGGTACGTTTTAAGTGATTAGAGCCTACACCCTTAGAGTTAACATCCAAACTCATGACACAAGTTGAGTGTACAGTACAATGTAATACCCCTACAAATATAACATATTCCACTAAAGTCATATTTTAATTAAAAATCTTTTGACTTTGTTGAAATTTATATTATTATTGTTATTAATATTATATGTAAACGACTTAAAAAGTATAAACTTTAATAGAGTTGACACTTAAACTTATGACACAAGTTGAGCGAGCAGCACAAGGTACCACCACAAATATATTGCACTGCTCTAAGCAGTAGCTTATTGAAGATTAATATAATAGTTTATTGAAGATTAATATAAAAAATGACATTTTAAAAAAGATCTTTTTACGTCTCTTTTAAGTATTCAAAATCACATATAGAGCATAAGTTCCTATCAAGTAGATGTTAACTTTGAATCTTAATCAACTATTTATAACTTTACAAGTATAATATCAACTTATCAATTAAGTTATAAGATTTTAGTTTGTAAGTTCTATTTGTTCCAATTCAATATAAATCACATAGTTGTTCTTAAATGTTTTACAGTTGAAAAGTTTCACTACTATTTTCTCAAGTATCTCTAGAAACTTAGAACTGCAACCTAAATTCATGACACAAATTGAGCGACAAAAAAAAATATTGCCACCATAAACATAACACGTTGTACTATTTTAAATA